ATGGCTAGCAAGGTTCCATTTTTTTTAAACACACATTAGTTACACAGGTATTTATCTTATAATAATTCATTAAGATGTACATTTTATGCTACCTTTATATATTTGCATAATATTTATCGAAAGTTTTTATTAAAAAAAAGTGTATGGCCTCAAACTTACTGCAATCCTCCTGCCTCTGCTTCCCAAGTACTGGGAATATCGGTATGTGTCATCACACCTGGATAAACTATCCAAGTTAAAAACTAAAATGATTATCACCAGGTATGGTGGCACAGGCCTGTAATCTTAGCACTCAGGAGGCTGAGGCAGGAGGATTATGAGATGAATCTTAGCTTGGGCTACATAGCAAGACCCTGTGGCAAAAAAAAAGAAAAGGGCCCTGGGATGTAGCCCAGTAGTTCAGTGATTCACTAGACAGATCTCAGCATATAAATGTATTCAAGCCTATGATTTATTGAATTAGCAGAATATAAGGCAAAATCAGCAAAAGGGGGGGGTCTAGTGGAAATCAGTACAAGCTTCCAAGAATCCTCTCCTAGTGGAGTCACATAGTTAATTCCTCCAGCGTTGAATTGCAACAACATATGTGCCTATCAGTTAAGCTTATTAGAGACTAATACTCAAAGTTTTTATGAGGTGCTGGACATGCTGGTACCCTCTGTGTAAGACCTATCAAAATTTCAGACTCCAAGAAGAGACCTTCAAAAAAAATTGACAAGCCTTTTCCGAGATCAACCAACAAAAAGAGAAGACAGAGATCACCAAAATTAAGAATGAGAAGATATTACCACTAAATTAAAAGTATAATACAGTGAACTTTATGCCAATAAATTAGATAAGATAAAAGATAAATTCCCAGAAAAACACAAATTACCAAAACTAAGTTGAGAATAGAAAATAAACATTTGATACATAGGATAATTTGAAGATGGAGTATTCACAAAAGTTGGGGTATAACGGAACCACAAGGAATAGTGCAAGCACCTGAAGCTAGTATAGGTGATGACCAAGCTGGTTATCACCTGTAGGCCCAAAAGACAAAGGGAAGGAACAATTACCAGAACCCAGAAGAGATAAAATCTGCCACATTACAAAGTGCTGTAAGCATCAGGGGAGAGGAATAGTTAACCCAAAGCACCTTAAAAGGAGGGAGACAAGGGTATAAATACCCAAGCCTCACTCCCCTCCTTCCTCTTTCCAGGAATCCCACTGACCAAGTGCAACAGGAAGCCAGAGGGTCCTAGATGCAGGAGAGTGAAGATTAGATTTGGAATGCTAAATTGAAGAGGATATCCAGCACAGAGAGATAGTGTCCCAGCTCATTTATTTTGGAAAGATTCCGAAACCTGAGGCTCAAGAACTATAATGAAACCAGACATCATGGTGCACACCTCTAATCTTATCACTGTGAGAGCCTAAAGGAGGACTGTTAAATTTAAACCTAGAGCAGGCAACTTAGCACATTCCCGTCTTAAAGAAGCAGAACTAGTGTGACAACACTGTTATGTCTTTCAGCTTCTCCCAGCATGTTGACCTGCTAACCTCCAGTGTAAGCTCCCTATTGCCCCTGCATGGTGGATACTACAACTGCTGCCACAGTAACTTTAGCATTAGGGTCAGTCTCTATATAATTGTCTCAGCCATACAGAAAAACTTCTGAAGGTCCTGTGAGGTCATATGCCCACTCCTGAGCCAATCGCTGTGTGCAGGGCAGGGGTATACTTCTGCCCAGCCAGCTGAGTCACAGGCCCACTGTTCTGAGTCTAAAAGTTGTTCAAGGTAATATCTTAGTCTCTTTCTGGCAATTTTTTTCCTTTTTTCCTAAAATAGGGTTGGATTCTGCTAATTGGAATCAAAAGAACTTTCATGCAGACTAAAAGTAACCATGATTAAAGTAGGGGAAAAACATAAGAATCAGCCAACCTTGGTGATAGAACTTTTAGTCTCCAGAAATTATCTTCACATCTACTCAAAATCAGAATTTTTCTTCAGTGCTTGGGATCAAACCCAGGGTCTTACACATACTAGATAACTGATCTGCCATTGAACCATATCGCCAGCATCAAAATCAGAATTTTATTTTATTTTTTTCAAAATCAAAATTTTGAGACCCAGGCATGGTGGCACTCAGCACTCAGAAAGTTGAGGTGGGAGGACTGCCACTGAGTTCAAGGCCAGCCTGGCCTACACAGTCAGTTTAAAGCCAGCATGAACTACAGTGAGGCCCTGCCTCAAAAATTAAAAACAAAAAATCAATTTTAATAATCGATATTTTCACATGCTTGCAAAGTTTTCTGTTTTGTTATTTTTTTTAATGGTACTGGACACTGAACTCAGCGCCTGGCACTGAGCTACATCCCCAACCCTTCTTTAATTTTTAAATGATCTCACTAAGTCACTAAATTGCCCGGCCTGGGCTTGAATTTGCAATCCTCCTGCCTCAGCCTCACAGAGTGCTGGGAATATATGCATGCTCCACCACAGCCAGTTTCAAAATGATTTTTTACTGAAAAATAATGTATAAAATATAAATTATATTACAGTTGAGAAACAAAATAGCAATGACAAAAAATCTTAACCCATACTTTCTACATTATCACTCATTACTTATGAAACTTATTTTTTTATTTTCCCTTACTACTTTTACACACAAAATGTTTACAAATCGTAATGTCAGTTATCTTTTCTGTCATGTCTTGACACTTACCTAACATCAACCTTCTTCTCCATCCTCTGCCTAACCTATTTTTTGATGAAAATTCAACCAGTGGCTTGATAATACACTTCTCAGATTACTCAGGGATCAAAGTCTTTTCCCCTTCCAACTACAAAAGAAAAGGAAGCAAAAGAATAAATTATCTGAAAAGTTACAGGTGTCACCCTTCTAGTCAGCTCTTTGCCAGCTACTTTCTTGTTCCTTCCCTTCTTAACTCAATACTAAATAAGCATAAGAGGCCTCTGACTTAAAATATTCTTTTTAAATTGCATTAAGTAATTTTCTAAGAAAAGAGTCACAATCATAAGATATGACTAGCTCCTATCCAAGCAATGTTCTAACACCTTCAACTTCCCTTCATAACAGTGCCAGTAGGGACCACGATTTCTTAATTTTTCTCCAGATTAATTTTATGGCTGTCAGCTTTATCTGTAAAAATCTTCAGGCAGTTTTTATTTAGCAGTAGATGTTACAGTGTGCAGTTTTCATTTTCAGTGGGTGATCTTTTTACCAAAAATATTCATTATGAACTAAATAACATAATTTTTATTTATTTATGAGTGCAAGGAATAGTAGTGTTGTGGGTTGAATTGGGCTCCCCAAAAAGATATGCTGATATCCTAATCTCTGATACTTATGAATGAAACCTTATTTGGAATTAGAGTCTTTTGCAGCTGATTCAGAAGTGTTCATCACATCATGTAATGTAGATAGACACTATTATTTTAACAACAAATTACCACTCTGGGAGGCTGAGGCAGGAGGATGGTTGCGAGTTCAAGACCAGCCTGGGCTACAAAGTGAGCTCAAGGCCAGCCTGAATTGCATAGCAAGACCCTGTCTCAAAAAGACCAAAAAAAAACCCCAACAAATTACTGTTTAATTACCTGGGAGAGATGAGGAAAGGAAAATTATGAGTTAAGTACTTACCTCCCATGAAAAACACTCAACACAAAGTACAAAACTAACAAATGGAGAAACATCACTATAAGAAATACTTCCAATTTATAAATTTATAAGTAACATTAAAAGAAACAGCTAGAAGAATGGAGTGGGGAGCTACTTTCTGCTACAAACTTTAAGATTAATTTTTAAACCTCATTAATTTGGAAAAACTGTAAAAATATCGAATTTTCTACAGTATTTTGCAGTTTCTTACAAAGCCAAAAAAAAAGAATGCTCTTACTAAAGGAAAACGAGGAAATTTATATTTTAAACCCCAGAATAAGTTTCAACTACTTCTTCCAAGAAGCCTTCCCTGACCCCACTACGTCTCATACTTTCCCAACACTTACGACAGTACCAATCTAAAATGCGTAGACTAGGGCCGGGGATACAGCTCAGCGGCACAAGCACCTGCCTGGCAAGTGCAAGGTCCCGCATTCCAGTGCCGGTTCCAAAATAAAATACAATGCATAGACTAGCCGGACGTGGTGCCGCATGCCTGTAATCCCAGCACTCGGGAGGCTGAGGCAGGAGGATCACTGCGAGGTTGAGGCCAGCCTGGGCTACAAAGTGAGCTCAAGGTCAGCCTGAACTGCATAGCGAGACCCTGTCTCAAAAAGAAAAGGAAAAAAAAATGCATAGACTAGAATCAAAATAGCCGGTCTCGAACTCGCAACGATCATCCTGCCTCAGCCTCCTGAGTGCTGGTATTACAGGCGTGCACGACCACGCCTGGCAAAGCAGTTTTCATAAATTACTTTAATACAGCAGTGACTGCCATCTTCATTTTATAGATAAATGCCCAATCCCTCTAGCTGTGTGGAGCTACGACTAGGACTGGAGTGCTCAAGACGTCCACCTCAACAAACACTACACACGTACACAGAGATTGACCACACGTGGAACGGCCTCCTAGTAAAATAGAAACGAAGCGCCCACCTCTCACTAGCGGGGGAATTCCGGGGCTCAATGCTAACACCCACTCGCTCGCCACGCAGCTGGGAGCCCTGACCTGATTCGTGCTCCCGCCCGCCAAGGAGCCTCGCGCGGGCTCGAACTCCGGGCTGGGGCGCACTAGCCGCGCGGAAGGATGCGGCGCCCCGGGCGAGCGACCAGCGCTGTCCAGAAGCGTCCCGGCACCGGGCGAGCTCCGCGCGCCGCTCTGCGGGTTCCGCGCGCATCTGCACGCCGAGACCAGAGCCCGCGGGGAGGCGGCATCCCTCACCACCTGCACCTTTACAAGAGGAGAAAACCCAGGCGCCACAGAAATCGCGGGGCCTAACTCGGAAGCATTTGTGCTCCCTTCCGGGCTTACAGACCGAAAAGCAGAGCCACTTACACGCTGGGGACGATCCAAACGGGCCTCGTACCTGAGCGAACCCAGCCCTCCGGCGTGGCGCCCGACAGGAGTCGCGGGGAAAACTTGCGCACCCTGAAGACCTCCCGAGGCCGGTGCAGCCCACACCAGGTTTTGGTCTTCCCGCTTCTCGGGACTTGGCTCTCGTGCTGGCCCCACCCCCGTCTCCACGGCGACGCGGCGCGCGCCAGACGCCCCGCCCCGGATGTTACAGTTCGCGCAGCCTCAGTAGCGTCGGTGATGCGCCTCTCTTTAGCCAAAGTGAAGCTGGGGCGATTCGAGGTGGGCGTGTCTGTTGAGGGCAACGCGCTGCCTGGAGACTCCTGCGGATACCTCTTCGCTTCCTTGGCCATTCGTTTCTCTCTGAGTTCAGCTTTCTACTGCTTTTCTTAGGCCAGAGGAGTGAGAGCTACTTGGGAGCGGGTCCCCTGTTTACGCCTGCCGCGGCCAAACGAGGGATTAAGCTCCGGTCAGTAGGCAGAAGCGGTGAAGTCTTCCTTCCCCAATCTTCAGAGTTTCCAGAGAATATGAGCCGGAACCGTGGATCAGGGCATGGAACTAGGAGACTGCTGCGACCTGGACCTGGACTGGGGGAGTAGGGTTCCTGCAGCCCCAGAATTAGAATTATCTTAGGCTGATATCTTCTTAACCATTGCTTTAAAATAGTTAATTATAGTAATTATATTTTTTAAAAATTTGGGTCCACTCTGATAGTGTTTTTAACACAGATGGAAGAGAGTAAGTGGAATGTTTTCGTGTACTTTGCCGTTGCGCTTTGTAAGACATCTGAAAGCACTTGAGATTTCTGCAGAGAGCAAAAGTTAGCGTTATTCGTTCAAGTGGCCGAAACATTTCACGTTAAAAATATAAAGAAAAATAACTGTTGGGTGTCTTAGGGTAGGAAATGCCAAATAATTTACATTTTTACTCCTAAAAATTTTTTTTTTTTGCTTTTTCCTGAGATAGGGTTTTGCTGTATACTTTAGACTGGTCTTGAACTGACTAGCCCACGATGGCCTTGAATTCGCAGCGATCCTCCTGCCTCAGCCTCCTGCGTGCTGAGATTACAGACATGCCACCTTAGCCGGTTTATCCTATTTTTAGGTACTGTACATGTTTTGGTTTTGGTGGTATTGGGGATTGAATTCAGCACTGAACTACATCGTTAGCCATTTTTTAAATGTTCAGACAGGGTCACACTGCATTCCCTGGGCTGGGCATGAATTTGTGATTCCCTTTCCTTAGCCTCCCACAGTGCTGGGATTACTAGGTGTGCACTACAGCTTCTGGATAACGTTAAGTTTTTTGTAATTTATAAAAAGTGGCCAGGCACAACGGCACAGGTATATAATCCTAGCTACTCCAGATGCTAAGGGGTAGGGTTCCAAATTGGAGGCTACCCGGAGCAATTTGGACCTGTCTTAGTAACAGGGGCTTAGCTGGACGTTGTGGTGCGTGCATGTTATCCCAGCACTGGGAAGGCTGAGGCGGGAAGATCGCTAAGAGTTCAAGGCCTACATCGCTAGACTCTGTCTCAAAAATAAATGAATGAATGAATGAATGAATGAATGGGCAAGGGAAGTAACTGGTGGAGTGCTTTCCTAACGTGTAAAACACTGGGTACAATCCCCAGTAGTACTTGGGGAAAAATAGATTTTAAAGAAGTCCTATGTTAGTCACAAAAGCCAATCTTTCAGGGATGATTCATCCCAAGTTATGTGACCATTTTTGGTGCATTGCATAGTCATAATACTGTAATTAATTTTACTTACTGTAACATTTGTAGGTACTTTTATACAAAAATATGCCATATTCAGGATGATACATCAGTATGCCTACTTTCTGGATTTGAGCTAACTTGCTGACACTTTATTTTTTTTATTTTTATTTTTTGGTGTTTTTTTCCAGTACCGGGAATCGAACTCACGACCTTGCGCTTGCCAGGCAGGCGCTGTGCCGCTGAACTAAATCCCCAGCCCCATGACACTTTATTCTTGTCATGTGCATTTACCACCTTCAGTTTTGATTGAGGAAGTACACAAGACATTTTCACATGAGTTTAATAAAAGTAATTACTCTTGTTGCGAAAGAGTAAAAGATAATGGTACATACATAATAGCTTAATGTCTGACTCTGTGTTAAGTATATCCCATTTATAAAATCAAAGATGTTGGGCCACGAGTGTAGCTCAGTCTCACAGTTTTTGCCTAGCATGCTCAAGTCCCTAGTTTTGATTCTCAGTACCCTGAAGCAAAACAAAACAAAAGCATGTAAAGTCCCAGCAGGGTCTAAGGTCTGCAAATAATTATCTTTGGAAAGTCCCCTTAATAATAATTTCTTTCTCAGGCTTAACCTGAAGATAGGATTCCATAGTGAAACGCCTAGCTTCTTGAAACAAGGGATTTTACACACACACACACACACACACACACACACACACGTATTGGGGATTGAACCCAGGGCCTTTGGACTGAGCTACATCCCCAGCCTATCTTTAATTTTTTAGGACAGGGTCTTGGTAAATCACTAAATGGCCAGGCTAAGCCTGAACTTCTAGTCATCCTGGTTTACCTTCCCAGAGTGCTGGATTATAGGTTTGTGTCATCAGGTCCAGTTTAGGAATCATCCTAGGAGCAAGAAAACTTAGTAGGAACAAGCCTATGTAGAGACATGCAACCTCAGCCTTTTGAGATGAAGCTTCTGAAGATGATGGCCTAGAGCTGGGGATATAGCTCAGTGACACAGTGCCTGCCTGGCAAGCCAAGGTCATGAGTTCAATTCCCAGTACAAAAAAAAAAAGGAAAAAAATGAAGATTATGGCCTACCAGTAAATCTTCATTGGCACTCTCATAATATCTGGGTTTCTAATATTTTCATTTTCTTCTTTGTCAATTTCCTCCTGACCAAACCTGTGTCTGTCTGCCAAACTTTTTTTTTGTTTTTGTTTTTTGAGACAGGGTGTTGTGTAGTTCATGCTGACCTTGAACTCACTGTGTATCCCAGGCTGGCCTTAAACTCACAGCAATCTTCCTGCCTCAGCCTCCCAAGTGCTGGTATTACAGGAGTGCACCACCACACCTGGTCCTTGTGTCAAATTTTGAATAGCCTGGTCCTAAACCAAGTTCTTACAAATATCTCATAAAGAACTAGAATAAATAATTTTTATTCTCAAAGGTATTTCCCATGCTTATATTTGAAAATTGTTACAAGAGACAGTACTTGTAATTCCAAATTATTCTTGCCATAGAGAACATGAGAAAATTATGAAATAATGATTAGCAACTAGAGAGGCACAGGTGCAAAAAGTTTCTGGGTTCCCTTTATAAGATGCTACTTTTATGGAATAATTGTCTTTTACCAGGATAAACTGAAAAGTGAATTGAGGCAAAGATTCTATATTAGACATTAAAGAAGGGCTTAGTGCAGTGGTGTTGAACCGGTGGCAGGTATGCCACAGCCAACTGTTCGTTATTATTGAAAGCTCTAAAAGAGTTGCCATAGGGGCTGGGGATTTAGCTCAGCGGCAAAGCGCCTGCCTGGCAAGCGCAAGGTCGTGAGTTCGGTTCTGCTACCAGAGAAAAACCAAAAAAAAAAAAAAAGAGTTGCCATCACTAAACTGGAGGACTCAGAATTAGTTCCAGGCCAAATCATGATAGCTATGATTGTGATAGGTTTTGTTTTGTTTTGTTTGTTTTTTCTGGTACCGAACTCACGACCTTGCACTTGTCCGGCGGGTGCTGTGCCGCTGAGCTATATCCCCAGCCCCCTGATTGTGATAGTTTTAAGACATGCTCACAGGTTCTTTGACATTCTTCTTAGATGAGTCAGCTAACTCTTTTCCTTGAATACAGGCCAGCCTTAGTGACTCCTTTCTAAGGAACAGAGAGTGGCAAAGGGCAGCACTAATCCTGAGTGACTTCAAGGCTAGCAATGCAGGGCTAGGAATATAGCTCCTTGACTGAGTTCTTGCTCAGGGTGTGTTCCACTGTAAGCCAACACCAGCGGGTAAAAGAAAAAAGCAATGCAGCAACTATCTGGCATCTCCTCTCTCTGGATACTTGCCCTTGGAATCTGAAGTACAGGCCACATTAAAAGGCCACATGTAAGTGTTTCAGCCAAAGTACCAGTGGGCCCATCTGACAGTAATCTCCAAGTACCAAACAAGTAAGTGAGATTTTAGGTGATTCCAGCCCACAGCCTCTAAGCTGTCCCAGCTGATGCTGAGCGCAGCAGAGACCAGCTGTCTCAGCTGGTAGCAGCGCAATTTACAAGTGTAGAAGCAAAATAAATACAAGTTTACACCTCTGAGTTCTGGGGTTTTGTGGCACAAGAAATAATTAGATCAGTTTATTGTTGTTTTTTGTTGTTGTGTTGTTTTTTTGTGGTGGCAAGGATTGAACCCAGGGCCTAGCACATGCTAAACCCACATTCTATCACTAAGCTACATCCCAACCCCAAGAGTTTTTGGGGGTTTTTTTGAGGTGGGATCTCACTATGCAGTTCAGGCTGGCCTCGGACTCCCAAGTGCTGGAATTACAGATATTTGGCACCATGCCTGCCAACCCCGATAATTTTTATATTAACTAACTCCTCCCACAGGCCTGAAAAGTAGATCCTGCTCTCCCTTTGACAGATGAGGAAACTAATGTTGAGTGAAGTGCCTAGCTCAGGTTTCACACTAAGTGGCAAAGAACTTAGCTTCAAGAATACCTTCTCTGGGGATATAGTGGTAGAGCATTTGCATAACATGCACAAGTTCCTAGATTTGATCCCCAGCAGAGGTGTATGGAGGTGGGAGTCTTCTGCACTCCATAATACCATATTGTTATGAAAATAAGTCCTGATTTTACATTGTTTTGCTTGAGAAGTCACAACAGGTCTTCTTTTCAGGGGATGTCTTTTTTTTTTTTTTTTCATGTACAAAAATCTACCCTTATTCATGTGCAGAAATCTACACTTACACTCCTTCTGAACTCTCCAAACCCCAAATTCCAATCTGAATTTTTTTTTTTTTTTTTTTTTTAGACAGGGTCTCAACATGTAGTTCAATCAGGCCTTGAACTCATGGAGATCCTCCTGCCTCAGCCGCCCTAGTCCTTGGACTACAAGCGTGTGCCACCATGCCCAGCTTCCAACCTGAATTTCTTGTGACTCCATTCCCTGTAGAACCACTGGCCCCAATCTCTCCTGTCCAGCAGTAGAGCACTCTTAAATGAGCACTTCTTGTCCATGTAGCCAGCTCATAGTACACTGGTAAAACGGCTGTCAGGTGATTTTATTCCATGAATTCTTCACCTAAATCACACCCTCTTGCAGCAAAGGCTTCACAAAGTTGCCACTAAATCAAGTATTTATTGAAGACTTAAGAGACATGAGTGGCAACAAAACAATGACAGTTAAGAATGACTGTCCACACAAAAGCAACAAAAAACTGTAGGCACCAAATTCAGGAAATGTTTATTTCACACAACTGCATTAAGTATATCCATTACAACAAACAACATATTGAATTATGAAGACTCCCACTACACACAACCGTGTCCATTTAAGTGCACACACGTTATTCATGCACTGTCTGTAGTGACTGGTCATTCACCAATAAGTCAAGTTCATCTGTTCACACAGGCGTTTACCTCTTGTCCAAAGGTACCTGCTTTGGTATTTACTTAATTA